TACAATTACTTTATAATATTCTGCATCTGGTCTAGACACAACCCTGTGAAGGTGGAGATTACATCACATTCACCATTTTTATACAGAGCTCCTAGTATAAACATGGTGCCCGGTACACAGAAAGCTCTCAGAACGCTGTTGTAGAAAGGAATGTATATTGTGTCCCCACCACATGCCAGACACTGGTATATGCTGTCCATATACAGGACTCAGCTCTTAGGAAGAAAGTAAGACACAGAAAGATGAAGTATCATGGCTAGAGTTAGCACAGCAGGGAAGTGGTCAGGCAGGGGTTTGAAAGTACATTTGTCAAATTCTACAGAAGTGTCACTCCCAAGCCTGGTACCGTGCCTCTGCATTGCAGACCAGGAGAAAACGAGGCAGGAACAAACCAATTGTGTTGAAACTGTCTTTCCCTAGGATATGAGGATGATGATCCTGGGAACCCAAGAACTCCCAAAACACAGTTTCAAAGCCATCAGTTTAACAATGGAAACGGCTTGAAGGCCTCCAAAGAAGTAAACCCAGCAAGGATTGCTGACCTTTGTTGAGCTCTTTATGTGCAGGTACTGTGCTGGGCATCTGATAGGCATTATCTCACTGGCTCCTCCCTTTGCTCCCATAAGGGAGACACAGCCATTACCCTCAGTGTACAGGTGAGAAAATAGAGACTCAGAGGTGAATCACCTTGCCCACGATCAAGTAAGCAGGAAGTAGGGGTGTCACATTCTAACTGCTCTACTTTACTGCCCCTGTGTACGGGTGGAGCTTCATTTACAAGCCACCTGAGCCTCTGTCTGGAACTGTCATTGCTGTCACCTTTCCCTTCTCCTTCCTGACCATCCCACCACCAAGGATAGAAAATACCTTCTGGATGCATCCCTCATGTCACTCTGAGGTCTGTACACAAAGCATTGTTTGTGAGGCTTGGGGAGGAAGGTCTTCATTTATCAAACAGGAGAAGCACCATCGACCACACATGACCTGGCACCTGCTACCAGAGATGGCACAGAAGAGGGGCTGCATAAATGTCTCTTGAGCTAAATTGAGATCGCTTGAATGAAAGGACAGTCACTGTGGAATCTGGCCGTGTTTTGGGATTTCCTAGCTGCCAGCTAACACGATCATTCTCTCCAAGAAGAAACTAGGTCTATGCCAATACCCTTGGCTATTCTGCTAACATGCCACTACCCTCAGATTGCTTAAATGAGAGAGAGACTATAAACAGGCAGAAGGAGACAGAAGAATGGCGATCAGGTATACACTTGTCACTTTGGGAGGAAGGCGAACTCTGTAAGGTGACTAGGTTACCATTTAATGGCATCCTTAAGAGCATGAACCAGAATTAGGTATTTCCTCAAAATAACCTTTTTAAAAATAAGAATGCAAGTTTGTAATTTATATTTCTTTTTGTGCAACAAATTTGAGTGTCATAAAAATGGTTAAAAAGTCTTCCTATGGTAGCTTTTTCTAAACTTTTATGAACATCTGCCACATTCATTTGAAGTTTAAAAAATTCTGGCACATATGCAAAGGCATAATAAGGTGCCTATAGCTTTCAAGAAAAAATAACAAGACAGTCAAAAATAAGCCTTTTGCTGAATTGCCAGTAAGAAAACTAGTGTAGCAAGAGGAGATGGGCCTTCCTGAGCACCTTCCGTAAAGAGCTTTCCTTTGGCCCCAGATCTGAATTGGAGGTTCCTGCAGGAAACCGCAGGGGAAGCATCCCTTTCACCTGAAGGGTACAATGGAACTAGATAAACCCAATCAGAAAGTACAACTAGGGCACTCAGAATCTGAGCTGAAACTCCAGGGAGGAGGTCAGGAGACTGAATTCTAAGATTCGGTAGTTCACGGCTGCCCTACACACCCAGGAAACACTTCTTTGTTCAGAAAGTGTCTTGGCTGGCTTCAAGAGTGGGGCAACTCCCATTTTTGTTTTTATTTTTGTGCTGACTACACAGGAGTTCAGCACAGCAAACTCCTTCCCAGCCTCTGTCAATCAGCAGGGCTAAGGTCTATCTTAGCCAGTGCCCCCTGAGCCTTCTCCCTTAACGCCCTTCAAAGGCTGAGCAGAAGAGACCTGTACCCATTCATGTAAGTGCAAAACTCTGTCTCAAGTTTCAACTGCAAAATGTATGCATATTTTACCATGTTTTACTACAAAAGGCCTTATTTTAAATTACTTACAATTATATAAAAAGTAAAAAATTCACTTCCCACACCTGTAAGTAAAATTATGGCATTGGGTTGCCTGAAAACAGTGATGCCTATTAGAGGGCTTCTAAATGTGCTCCAAATTACAGCTTTCCAAGCATTCACTCAACGCTTCTTTTCACAAAGCATTTGCTCAGAGAATATCACCTGTGTGGCATCCTGTTAGGTGCTGAGGACACCACAGTGAATGATGCACAGTCCTTGTTCCCAAAGAAGTCATCCTCCAGGGGATGATGGAAAGAGACAAGGAAGCAAACAGCTATTATTCAGAACAAGAGGCACTGTAAGTCAAAGAAGAAAACAGAGCAGGAGGACTTCTTGGAAGAGGCGGAGAAGGGCAGGGCTAATGCATGCAGAGGGGTGGGAATGTGGGTATGTTTAGGGATCAGCAAGAGCACGAGCTAACATGGGTCAGTGACCAGGCAGAAGGCTTGACAGCAGCAGAGAGACTGTGCAGAACCCAGGGACTGTGTAGGGGAGGCTGGAAGGCTCCTCCCCAAGCATTATGTAGCCCATGGTTATCAAGTGACCGGGTGGAGGGCAACCCATGCAGTGTTGTGACTATGCACTGAACTTTATATTCATCTCCATACCTCCAGGACCTAGCAAAATGCTTGGAACATAAGAGGTCCTCATGTTGTTTATCAAATGAATAAGGCTTTTGCAAGAATCCAAGAAAGCAAAGCAAAGTGTCAATGAAGGCAGTGAGGAAAGAACAGGGTGAGAAACATTTTAGAGCTTTGTGAGTATTTAGAGAGGATGAGGAAGAAGAGCATTCAGCCATGATCAGTGTGTCCCACTTAGGTGTCACTGAAGGCAGTAGTGCCATTCACAGGAACCTGGAACAGTGGAAGGGGAGTGGAGTGGCTTACAGAGAGAAAGAGAGAGAGAGAGAGAGAGAGAGTGTGTGTGTGCGTGTGTGTGTGTGTGTACAGATAATAAATTGTTTGGGGAAGACTGGGGAAGACATCTGTAGTACATCCAGGTGAAATCCAATTGGCACTTTAAACTTTGGACCTGAAGTTCAGAGAGAGGCAGACCAGCGTTAAAATCCCAGCTGAGTCATTGACATTGACCTGGTAGCTGAAGCAAAAAGCCTTAAACAAGGTGACTAGAGGGCACATAGAAAAGAAGAGAAAGACACAACTAGAAACTTGGAGAATGCTGAGGCGCTGGGACATAAAAAGGAGTCTGAAAAAGCCTGTGCTGGAGCAGTCTGGAAGGCAGGAGGAGAGGCAGGCGGGAGGGAACTGTGGACTCTGATAGACCAAATAGTCGTTATATTAGTGTTTCAAACTCTACAGCAATTGGCACTAACGGTCCATTGGAAAGTATTCACTTTGAATTTCAGTTTTTCATACGGGAGCTTTGAATAGACCTCCAAACTTGACAAACAAAGGTAAAACACAGAAGAAATCTCTTCAATCTGATCTAAATACATCATCCCAGATAGTCCATAAACTGTGTACTGTATGTGCTTAGGGCTGGGTGATGACAAGGAGGAACTGTTAACAGAATGTAGGAGCCACATGGCCGGCCTGTCAAATTAGAAATTTGAGCAGATTTCTGTGGTCTATTTTGATCAAGATTCTCAATGTCAAACAAACAGGTTTTTCGATAACCAACTTCTTTCATTTTCGTAAGCACAATAGCACAGTGTGCAACAGTTAGTGAAGCAGGTGGTCCTCGTCGACGTGAAATGAAGGGAACAGAAGAAGAGAAGTAGCACTTCCTTCAAGACATGCAAAGCACCACCGCAGACGGACATGGCTGTAGATTTTCCCTCTGAGAGCTTATCTCCTGTGCAACTCAGGCAAGCCCCCTCCCCACGCCTCATTTTGCTCTAGTACAAATTAAAACTCTCTCCTAAGGAGGAAAGGGCTTAGGGTACATGTCTACAAACTAATGACACTTACAAAAGCACAGAAAAGTCCTTTAAAAGAATTGCTATCTAATTGGTACAGCCATACAGAAAGCAATCTGGCATCCGATGCATAGCTTTGACCAAGCATTTCTACTTTAGGGGTTCTATGCTAAGGAAATGAGGCAAAATGCAGATAAAGCCTTATGCATAAAGATGTTCGCTGAAATGCTATTTATAATAGTGAAAAATTATAAACAACCTCAGTGTCCAACAGTAGGAAAACGGTTACGTTGTGGTATATCCAAATAGTGGGAATGATAGGTGGCAAATTAAAAATTATTACTGAGAGTAGATAAAAACATGTAGAAATTCCCAAGCCATGTTAATTAAAGACATAAAATTACAAAGCATATCAATTATGCATATTTATAGAAAACATATATTTAGACAATAAAGACTAAGAAGGAGATTAGTAAAATGCTAACAATGGTTCAATCTGGAATAATGGTATCGTGGATAATTTTAATTTCCTTCTTCATGATTCTATGTACATTTTATATCACATTTACTACAATGAAGAATGCAATATTGCTATAGCGATTAGAACAAACATTTTGAAAAGCAAATCATTTCCCTTCCCTCATTCAAACCCTTAAAGAACCCTTTCCTCCTGCCTCCTTGACTCTCTCTCCCTCAACCCGTGAAAATCCACAGTCTCTAGGCAAAGTGGGAAAATCCTGAAAACAGAGTCCAATGCAGAGCGTCCAAGCTGAACGCTCAGCTCTGTGCACCTGGGAGGTGCTGCTTCGGCACGCTCCCACATGCAGAGCTGTGACTGCCGAGACTGGGTCTCTCCACCGCCACACAATGAAACAAAGCCCCAGGTAGAGCCATCTGGGGAGGAAAGAAGCCAACTTACCTCCATTAAACTTAAATGGATTCCTATGAGGTAGGGCATGGGAGCACTGTGAAGAGAAACAGAGACACACAGCTGCTTTAATGTCTGTTGCTTCTGACAGAAAATTACAGATGGTTCACTATTTGGAGAAAAACTGTTTTAATAAACGTATGCACAGTTACATTTCCTTTCACAACAAAAATCCTAATATGACATTTTGTTCCCAAGCCTTGAAACTTCAGAAGAATTTCAAAACGTGGGCAGCATTGGAAACAGCATGGGTATCAGGAAGAGCATCAACCTTGGTATTAGTCCCTAAAGAGCAGCTCTGCAACTGCACAGCCTCAGTTGCCTTATCTTTAAAATGGAATCCTGGATTGCAGCCAGCATGTTGTTATTAGAATCAAAGAAAATATACGTTAAATGATCAGCAGAGTTCTAATACAAATGGGAACGATTATTGCCATGATTACAACAGAAAAAGCAGTTAAGGTTGGATGAAGGGCATAATGTGTTTCAAAGAAGAATATTTTGTATTTTCTGCTTCCTCTGTCATCAAGAGATGTGATCTAACTGTCCATTCTGATTGGACAAAGTACTTGGAGAGCTGCCAGCAAGCATCTCCTCCCCAGTTGCACACATGCCATCCCATGACACTATAATTCAGAAAGCCTCTGCCAACTGCTTCATTCACGGAGCCATGGGTTCCCTAAGTCAGTGACTGAGCAAAGGCATGAGAACTCCACTCTAGTGGGTTTAAAACCTGGGCATTTTGGATACACCGGTCCTGCCTTTGGTTTCAGGGGTTGGTGTGTACGTGTGTGTATACATTATCATTTATGTTACCTACCAATAACAAATGTGCTAGACATTATATGAGGAAGTTTAAATTCATCTATTCTAATCCACACAACAACTTTGCAATACCCATAGATACAACACCCATTTTACAGAGAAGGGACTAGGCCTAAAGAGGTTAAATCACTTACCTAACACCACAAAACAAAGTCAGTGGTAGACTTGGGATTTGACTCCCAAATATGCATTTCTTCCTTTGTACCACACTGATTTTGTAATACAGAACCTGAAATCCCCAAGCTCACTTCCCGTGCAATGCTTTCCTTTGGGTCAGGGGAAGGAGGTCAAGGAAGAGTGAGAAAGGGTGTGACTGGCAACTTTTCCATCTATCTCTCTAGTATGGGATGTATTCTATGAAATGTGCAGATGGTATTTTGTGAACCTAGAGAAAAGATACCTGACTCAGACTGGGGTGACCAGGTACTTTTCTTCTGGGGCAGCTGGTAGAGTAGAGGTGGATGATCAAGGATGGCTCTTTGGGGACAAAGTTGGAGAAACAAGGATTGGTAAGTAATGAGACAGGAGAGGTTTGCTTCCAACTGAATACTATGGAGTTTAGGCTTTATCCTGAAAGCAATGGATAGGCAAGGGAGGTTTCTAAACATCACATGTATATTGTTAAATTGCTCAAACATTTAAAAATAAGAAAGGGCATGATTCCCTCATTACCATTCAACAAATAAAATTCAAGCAAAAATCCTTTCTTTCCTCTTTCCCCAGAATATAAAATGTCCTCCTTACTACAGATCTCAGCAGTAATATAATATGTCTTGGGAACATGTAAAACAGACTTGAATATTAGCAGCTCAGTTTGCTAACTATTCTAGAAGACTTTTGTATTTGATAATAGCTAAAGAAAGAACTATATACACAACTGCAGTGAAAGTGGAGTTGTCTTTCTTCTTCTCTTTTTTTTTTTTTTTTTTAAGGTATCTGCTGTGTGCATTCAGCTTCTCTTTGCTTCCAGGGGCAAGGAAATGCCCTGTGACATTTTTTTTTCCCCTAAACTGTAAACCATTAGTTTAGCTGCCAGCTACACAAACGCTCAAACTTCCCAGTGTGCCTGGCTCTGCTGTCCAAGCTTTTTCCAGTGTACACTGAAATGAATGTGTTTCTAATTAAGTAGCTTCAGGAACACGACAGCTTCAATGTCAAAAATACAAAGTCTGAACCCTGGCAGGAAGTCTTAAGACTGCAAATGTCTCATCTAGTGGAACCTTGCCTAATGTAATGAAAGGAAGCAGGAAGAGGACAAATTCCAGAAAAATGGCCACTTATTAATGTGACCAGAAGCACAGCCTAACACATAGAAGGGAGAAAGCGCAAATCCGTAATATTTAACTAAATCTTATCACCTTTCCCATCTCCTACATTTAATCATGCAATTGACCAGTGACCATGAGTTTTAACCAGAATTGTAGAACTGAAATTCCAACAAACGAATTAATACACAGAAAAAGACATTCAAATGGCTGAAAATAAACATGTATACCAAAAGCCCTCTGTATAACTTAACCATAGGATCTTATGTGTGTAGACTTTAGTGCTATGCCCTTTTGTCCTATAATAAAAATCAATCGCACCCTGAAAGGAAAAAGGGACCTCATGGAAAAGACTGAAGATGCAAGAAAGGGCAAAATGGAACTCATTCTTCAAGTATCTTCAGATAGGCATTTTTAAAAGCCCAATAATTTTCCAAAGAGTAATTATGGCCTATTGTAGAAATGTAGTTTTCTTAGCCAAGTATTGTTAGAACTGCAACAGCTCTGTATTTAGAAAATATTTAAAACACATTTATTCTGAAATCATAGCAGCTCCATGTTTTGTATGAATGTAAATTTGGACAAATACCTTTTACACTGTCATCATTTACGTACAAAGCCTCAGATATTTCCCTGAATCTACTGCATGTTTGCTCTGCAAATAGATAATTACGAATTCCAAGTGGTGACAGGGAGAGGGAAGAAAAAGAAACCCAGAATTTCCTGAACATCGCAATGTGGTACTTATCCAATTGGGTAATTCTAGGTACAGTCTGAAAACAATTTCTATTCTCAATAATTATTGTAGCTACTGACTCAGTTTCTTGGAAACCTCTTCTTTGTCTTTTTATTTTTAAAAGAAATGTTTGGGGAGAAAAACACCTACCCATGATTATATTATCCTAACACAATTACTTTTTCTTTTGCATTCGTTTCTAATACTGGCTCACATTAAACAGGTTTATATCTTCGAAATCATAAAAGGCATACATTGTATTATTTTCTCATTGGCTACATGAACATTTCCCAGATTGTTCTATAATTTTGTGATTATTAAAGACTGCATAATATTCCACCAAATATGGATGTACCATAATTTACTGAATGCTATCCCTAGAGTAGACATTAAGTTGCTTCTAACTTTTCACTATCATAAGTATCACTGTGATAAAAATGAACACCTTCATGTTGCATGAATTCCTAGACACAAATTACTAAAAATTAAAGGACAGGGCTGTTTCTTATCGTTTGTTATATCCTAGCAGAGCGCTTTCCAAAAAGGCAGTACCTGGCCTAGTGGAAATCTTTCAGGACTGTTGCAGAGATTAGAGACAACCTCCAAGGTACCTGGCACAGGTGCAGCACATGGTAGGGTTCTCTCTGAGCCCCTGGCATGGCTGGCACCATTGGACCCACTCTCTTACTACCCACAGAATGGTTTCTTGTTCCAGCCCTGGTTCTGTAGGACACCCACTCCAGGATACCCAGTAAACTGCTGGTAAGAATGGTCAAGATGCCATGAGGAATGGGAGGTGCTTGACAGGCACACGTCATCTCTACACATGGATTTCTGACTGCCAAGCACACTCCTGTCTCCTGGATACTCCACTGAGTTCAGGAGGGTTGCTTATCACTTTCTTCAGGAGGGTGCCTTTCCTTTCTAATGTACCACCAATAATGGAAAAACTATCAAGGAAACAATGGTTCATGACTTTCTGATCACTTGGACACATTTTTAAAAACCTCTTATCACTCTTGAGCATACATTAAAAATAAAACATAGCAAAATAAACTGGGTAAGTTTTTTTTTTTTTTTTTTTTTTTT